CGGACTGACCATTTGGAAACTCGGGCCCGGGGTCAGTAGGGGGCCCCATGAGATGCCCCTGGTACCTTTTTCATAGGCTTTTTTGAGTTTGGGCAAGGACACAGGGGCCCCGTGATCCCCTATTGCCCAGGGGCCCCATGAGTTGTCAGTTCACCCCTGAGTGGGTTGATGATTACACATGTTCACATATATTTCACATATATTTTTTCCTACCATCTGAATGCTGCAGCAACCAGTCTGTCCATTCTCCTCTGACATCAGCAAGGCATTTTCATCCACACAACTTCCATTCTCTGGATATTTTCTCTTTTTCGGACCATTCTCTGTAAACCTTAGAGATGGTTGTGTGTGAAAATCCCAGTAGATCGGCAGTTTTTGAAATACTTAGACCAGCCTATCTGGCAACAACAACCATGCCACGTTCAAAGTTCCATTACTTCCCCCTGCTGCTCGGTTTGAACTTCAGCAAGTCGTCTTCACCACATCTACATGCCTAAATGCATTGAGTTGCTGCCATGTGATTGGCTGACTACCAATTTGTGCTGCCAAGCAATTGAACAGGTGTACCTAATAAAGTCTTAGTCATAACCCTAATATAGCTGCTACATTATGGGTTATGACTAAGGCTTTTTTCAACCTATTGTATTTTTATGTAATTTTTTGTGGTCGTTTCAATAGAGGAAGATTTTAACGCAGTGGCGGTCATGCGGATCTTTTTTCCTTTTCGTGTCTCACAGTACAGCTGCTGTGGATCACTGAGATGGAGTTCTAATTGGGTTGTAGCACCTTTTTGTTTTTTTCTGGAAACTAACAAAGTGGCCGCTGAATGTACGTATATATATATATATATATATATATATATTGTAACGGGGTTAGCTCGGCAGAGGGTGTGTGTGACCTCCTGGATGAGTGCAGAACACAAAAACGGGCACAGCAAAACAGCAGTTTAGATGAGAAAACAAAGCTGCGGTTTATTTACACTATTTACAAGCGGAAAAACATCAAACCAAAAAGAGACATGAAAATAAATCCTTGCCAACTTGGCCACTTACTATACACACAGCTTCCCTTGCTATCAACTAGGTGCAGCCTTGTTCTACACCCAGTCCCTATCTCCCTGTTCTTTAGAGGTTGGCCACACAGGCGATTGCCGCACCGCACAGACAGCTATGAAGCTCCCCAGTCTACTCAGGCACAGAACCGGTTCCAGGATGGATCAACTCCCTATGCAAGCTGGGAAGTTTTATAGAGGCCCTAATGATCCCACTACCTTCAGCTGGGCTCATTACCGCACTGCTGAAGGGCTCAGCACTTCCCCCTAATGGAACAAATCCACATAGAGCCTAAACCTTGGACAAATGTACCTGCCATCCTGGACGCAACCAGGTGGTTTTATCTGCCTACTGTCACAATATATATATATGTATACATAAAAAATTTTTTTACTTTGCCCTGTATGAATAGCTATATGGGGCTCCATTTACTGGGAACCATTGATATAAAAAGATGGAAGAGCCACATGGCCACATGTGGCATGTGGTTGTTTGAAGTCAGTGTTTACATTGGGATACAGATGAATTCTAGGTGCATAAATAAGCCATATGAGTTAAAGTGGCACTAAGCACTAGTTTAAAAAAATATATTTTCAAGTATGCATTCTAAAGTCAGAAAATTACCTTTTATTGCTCTCAGCCTCTTCCAAATTCCCAAATTCTTTTTTTTTTTTTTTTTTTTTTAGCTATGATGGACTATGGGATGTGTAATGTGCAAAGAGCAGTGAACATGACTACAACTTTTGTACTGCTCATTCCAAATAAAAATGAAAGTTTAGGGGAAAAGGAGAGGTGTAGGAGCTCACAGAGGACATTACAAAGAGGCAAAAAATCCACAATAAGAAAGAATTTCATAAAAATATATTACAGGGCCATTAAGTAGTGGATATGTATGGATAATGCTTGGAGGATAAGGATAAGGATACGTAGTGTCACTTTAACCATTAGCCGCCTGGCCAATGGCCGTTCGACGGCCGCAAAAATGCTGCAGCATTCCGGGTGCACGCCATTTGGCGTGCTCCCGCACATGCGCAGTTCGCGCGGTTGCAGAGCCGCGCAGCGGCGCGATCTGTCACCGGCCGTGTACCTCGGACACGGCCGATGACAGATCTGAGTACCGGCCCCCGTTGCTGGTACCATGTGACCTGCTGTGACCAATCACAGCAGGTCACATGACAGTTGTATACAATGGATGGCTTCATTCATGCCATCCATTGTATACTAGTGCCTAGCTGTGAATGGTCACAGCTAATCACATGCACATGTCATGTGATTAGCTGTGACCAAATCACAGCTAAGCACAAAAAAAAAAAAAAAAAAAAACCTGAATGAATCGATTTCATTCAGGTAAGTGCTTGCTTATAGCAAAGTAATTCTTTGCTATAAGCAAATTGTGTAAAAAAAAAAAAAAAAAAAAAAATACTGATCACTTCCCCAAAGTAGTACAATGTTACTATGGTAGCATTGTACTACTTTGGTCATAGTAAAATATGAAAAAAAAAATGTAATAAAAAATTAAAAATAATAAAAAAATTTAAAAAATTTATATATATATTTTTTTTCATACTGTCACCAGTCAGTGTCCCTGTTCACTGTCATGCCAGTTATATGATGATGCTGTACTGCACTGGTGACAGTATGTAAAAAAAAAATAGTGAAAATAATTTTTTAAATTTTTTAATTTTCCAAAAAATTATGACAAAAAAAATACAACTTCAAAAAACTTGCCATTCCTCTTATGAAGTACGTCAGACTGTCTACTCTGCAAAAAGGGGTCATTTGGGGGATATCTGTACTATTCTGATATTCTTGGACCTCAAGAAATTAGATTGGCTGTCAGTACTTCAGGATTGATCAATATTCAGATATATACCATAGTTTGTGAACTCTATAACTTTCCTACAAACTAAATAATACATCCTAATTTGGGTTATTTTCACCAAAGACATGTAGCAGAATACATCTTGGCCTAAATTTATGAAGAACAATTATTTATTTGTAAACTTTTATAACAGAAACAAACAAAAACGTGTTTTTTTTTCAAAATTTTTGGTCTTTTTTTGTTAATTTAGCAAAAAATAAAAACCCCAGTGGTGATTAAATACCACCAAATGAAAGCTCTAGTTGTGTGAAGAAAATTATAAAATTTTAGTTTGCGTACAATGTTGTATGACCGCGCAATTGTCATTCAAAGTGTGAGAGCGCTGAAACGTGAAAAATGGCCTGGGCAGGATGGTGTAAAATTGGCCGGTATTGAAATGGTTAAGTATTAAGCTTACAGAAAAACTTCTTTACAGGTCGAGACTCTGCGCTATCTATTATCACTTGTTACTGTGCAGAGTTAACACATTATCACATAACTTGTCTCAAATTCATTTTTATTCTGTCTCTCTCAGTGAACTGTCCCTTTCTTTAATTACAGTTCTAAGGAGCCAGTCTCGACAAGATGATGTTTATGATTCTGTCGTATGGGGGTGAAGCATAACATACAACTCATTGTGCAGACTTTAACAGCCTCCAGGTATGTTTTGTGTGTGGGGGGAAAAGAATTTACATCCCAGTCTCTTGCTCTGCACAGACACTTAACATTACCTGGGGGATGCATTTGTGCATTTTTTCAATGCACTGTGCATGTCTACACAAAACCTGAAATATACCTTTTTTAAAAAAAAGAGAAGGATCAGTTCACTCCTGAAGCAATATGTAGCTCCCTCATTGTAAATATACATGAGCTACCACATTTGTATGTCGCCTTGAGTTTGTTATTAAAAGGCAGGTTAGTTGAGCTTAACCAAGTAACACAGCATACCACTATCTCTGATACATGGATGTACGGTATGGTATCATCATCTTCATGTATGTACAGTAGATGATAGTGATGCATACAGAAGGGATTTCAACATTTTTATTTACTTTATTGCAAAAGAAAACCAGTCATGAGAAACAGAGGTTGTCATAGCTGATCCTACCTTCTGAAATAGCAAGTTGCCCGGTTGCCTTGTAACCCTCCTCTTTGAAATCTTTGAATAACTGACTTGGGAACAAATACACAGATGAGGACTTCTAAAGCTGCCCATTGGTTAATCATTTTTTGTCCTTCAGCCAGCAGCCCCCCCCCCCCCCAAAAAAAAGGATCCATCACACAAGAGAAGATGGAGGAATCCTCTCTGCTGTGCCTTTATATTCTAACAGCGGGGCTCTTTCACTTTCAGAATACACTGATCAGCCAATTGGCTGCAGCTGCTGATCATCAAAAGCTGTCCAAAATTTTCATTCACCAGAATCATAGATATCCATAGATGGAACAAAATTTGGCAGGTCCCCATCTATGACCAGCATAAAGTGACTCTAAAGGCAGAAGGTTTTTTTTTAACCTTTTTTCATTCCCTGCATTAGGCCAAAAATCCTTTTGTATACTGCTCCTCCGCCCCCCCCCCTTACACTTATCTGAGCCCAATCTTGATACAAAAATCTGAAAGCAGCAGCTCTCTCTCTTCTCACTGAACAGAGAGGCAGCAGTGAGAGCTACTGACAGCCAGAGAGCAGAGAGAGTGGGGGGCGGGGCCAAGGCACACTCTGTTTGTCAATGGACACACAGAGTTTGGCTCAGGATTGATCCCAAGAGCATAGTCATCCTAGAACACGAAGTGAGTTACTGGCAGAATCATCTAGTGAAAAAATGCCTAAAGAAAAACTATTGCCGCCATCACATCTAAGGACTGATATTTTACAAATTATTAAATTTTTGTTCCTGGTAGTATTAACACTTCAATTAGTAGATTGAAATAAAAAAAATGAACATATTAGGTATAGCATTCTTTATACAGATCAGAAATCACAACAAAACACATGCTGTGGAAATCAATGTACTTTTAGTAGTGAATTACTAAAAACAACTACATTAACCCATTGTTAGCTCCTGGACTACAGATGTCGTTAAAAAGTTCCTAATGTCTTATCATTCTTAGTTTAAAGGGGGCTGGACTTTGCTCAGTGGGAGTAGAAAATGCCCCAATGTCAGTGGATGTAACCAATACCCTGCCATTGGTATTAGTGGGGTGAATAGGATCCATCATTGGTATCAATGTGAGGAATAGGGCCCCATCACTGCTGTCTGTGGGAGGAAGATTGCCAAATTGCTGGTGTAGGTTTGAGGAAAAGAGCCTTATATCTGTGGAAGAAATCATTGGTATCAGTGGGAGAAAGAGTGTCGCATTGGTGGTGTCAGTGGGAGAAATAGTTCCCAATCATTGATATCAGTGGGAAGAATAGTTCCCCATCATTGGTATCAGTGGGAGGAATAGGGCCACATTGCTGATGTCTGTGGGGGTAAGAATGCACCATCGTTTGCGTCAGTGGAAGGAATAGTGCCGTGTATCAGTAGGAGAAATAGTGCCCCAAGGACCGAATAAAGGTAAGAAAAGGGCTACATTAGGCCCTTGAGCTGCAGTTTGAAAACCACTGATCTAAGGTACTGAGATCTGTTGACTTTAGGAAACCTCCATTGTATCCCCAATCACTAAATTCTCCACCTATTCCTACAAAAGAATTAGGTTGTCCTAGACATTTAGGCTAGATTCAGACTTTCACAGAGTGGTAATGCATGTAAAATAATGGCTCCCCAACATACTCAGGCAACTAATTTGCATTGTAGTACAATGCATGATAGTGCATTAAAAAAGGATCATGTGTGTTTAGGTTATTTAGGGTGTGTTGTCATTCTACTCATTTTGACATGCATGATCTAGGGCAAAACACTGATGGAAATAGCCCTAAAGGGTATGTATAGCCAAAACTGTTTTTTTGTTTGGATATAGTAGGGAAGGATTAAAACCAATTCAAATTGGATAAAAAGGAATGTTTTATTGTTGTATGTTGCCTAGTTGTGCTGGTGACCATTTTTCTGAGACAAAAAGTGATGGGAAATCCAAAATTTTAATCTGTCACCAAAACAAGAAGTGAGGTCATTAGGGACACCTGTTTTTCTGTTCAGGTGACAGATATTTCCTTCCACTTCCTGTTGCATCATTTGGATTTTTTTCTGTTATGAACCAATTTTATCATAGCCTTTGGATGTTTGCTTGGTACACTCATTGGACTATATATAACTGGATTCTTAACTCTTGGTTTTACCCCCATTTTCAAAAGATGTCCTCATTTTGTGGAGTGCTGCTGAATTGGAGTTAGTGAGCCCAGTGATAATTTGAAAAGCACCTAATTTTTACTTGTGTTTGAGCAAAAAGCCTTAAGAGGGTTCCTAAATGTTCCCTACTCCAGGGCTGAACAAATCGCAGCCCACAGGTTCTCATGACAATGAAAAAAGCTCCAGGTGACTAGGTATATTAGTATTTTAAAGCGGAACTAAACCCATTGATTTAAACAGTTTTAAAAACAGTTTCATTCCTGGCATGTCAGGATTGTTAACTGTCACATTTGCTTGTGCTTTCAAATGAACTGTCAAACCATCAAATGGCTGAACCGAGATCACATATGCAGCACCAAGGCAGTAGCAGATCAAACATAGGCTAAGATGGCAGCTTCCTTGGCTGAAAAGGATAGAAGGGTTTACTTCCACTTTGTGCTGCTTGTGCTCCTAAAAGACACAGGATTTCCATGTTGACTGCATATCTATCAGACACTTCTAGATAGAACCTAATAGAAAGGGGATTTCCTCAATCACTGATCACTTCCAAAACAATAAATTGTTATTGCAGACAATCATGGACCAAACTTCTCTGTACATATATGAAACTGTGCAAATTAAGAAATAGAGCTGTGTTCCCAAGTCAGATGGTTAATTTTCTGTACACAATTGTTTAGAATAATATAATAATACTGTATATTGTATATGTGGCACTACCCCCTTAGAAGTCGCTAGAAGATTTGGGTCCCCCTATAGTCCTGCACAGCCAGGCATCACACATCTTCACAAAAGCTTGTATCCAGAGTCAGAAATCAGTCCTTGAGCTTTGTTTTTTTTGTTGTTTTATATTTGGGGGATTTGAACTGGGATAGGGTTAAGGATGTACAGGATGTCCAAGGGTACTGATAAACTGAGGACCACTTCCTGAAACTATTTACAAGCCTTTTATATAAAAAACTTATTCCTGCGCCAAAACTTTCAAAATAACACTCTAAAACTGCTGCTGTGCAATTTGTGAAAACACAAGACAATATAAATATAAATAAACAGCGCAAAATTAGATTATTAATCACTCATATAATAAATAAAATAGGTGCATAAATTAATAGTGCTTATTCTTACTCTTAAACAAAACACCACCCAAAAGTCCATGTGCTGAAAACATAATTACATATTTGAAATAAAAGTGTGAACTTCTTTTCTTCAAACTTTCTTTAAGAATACTTCCACCTTCCACCCGTGCACAAACCAACATAAAATACACTCACCAGAAACTTGGTGAGTGAAAACCTTTAAGGAATTTTAGGGATCCTAAACCCTCTTTGGTGCCACGCTAGGGAAAATCTTCACCATCCGAATAGACTTAACCATTCAACCATAAGGGAAAAAAACTCACATAGCATAATTTCCTTTGTCACACAATAGAACAAAGCCAGGATTTTTCAAACCGGAAATTATGTCAGGCGCACGGAGTGTGGACCGGAAATGCGTCAACGCGGAGGGGCGAAACGCGCTGACGCATTTCCGGTCCACACTCCATGCGCCTGACGTCATTTCCGGTGAGTGGAACGCACGCTGAACGGTGCGTTCCAGCGGCCATCTTGGTTCACTGTTTGGTCTAAGAGGAGTCCTGGCTTTGTTCTATTGTGGATGCGAGAGCCCTAGAAGGAAAAGTTTGTATATTTGCTGGAACTGAAGCCTATTATATATAATAAACATGCCTTTATCAAGTGTTTTAACATGTGAGTGACCTTAATCTCCGCTTGAAAAAGTTACTATTGTGTGACAATATTATGCTATGTGAGTTTTTTTTCCTTTTGGTTGAATGGTGGAGTCTATTCGGATGGTGAAGATTTTCCCTAGCGTGGCACCAAAGAGGGTTTAGGATCCCTAAAATTCCTTAAAGGTTTTCACTCACCAAGTTCTGGTGAGTGTATTTGATGTTGGTTTGTGCACGGGTGGAAGGTGGAAGTATTCTTAAAGAAAGTTTGAAGAAAAGAAGTTCACACTTTTATTTCAAAAATTTAATTATGTTTTCAGCACATGGACTTTTGGGTGTTTTGTTTAAGAGTAAGGATAAGCACTATTAATTTATGCACCTATTTTATTTATTATATGAGTGATTAATAATCTAATTTTGCGCTGTTTATTTATATTTATATTTACAAGCCTTCTCTGCAGCAAAGTCTCTGTTGGAGAGCTAACCAGTGTCTTCTTAGTGTACCACCCCAGACCCTACATGAACTTGTAGGTGGCTAATCTGGTTTCCCACCAGAGTGCTCCTTCCCCTATCCCCCACCCAGGGAGTGTAGGTGTACTCACTCAGATCCTGTCTTGTACTGCTTGTGAGATGGTGACTGTTACCAGGCCTGTCAGCTGGGACGCTCCTTCCTTGCCATACAAGTGGTCCTCTCTCAGGGAGCCAGCAAGCTCTGGACTTTCCTCCTTTCCAGCTCCAGAGCTGCAGGTAGACCCCAGCCTATCGCAGGTAGGCCTCCTGACAGCCTCCTTCCTTCAGCCTCACATCTTCCTCTCTGTCTTCCTACAACTCTCTCCTGCAACTGAGCAGGCTCTAACACTTTTAAGGGTGTCCAGCCCATTGTCAACCTCTTGTTGGGGATTAGCTAGGATCCCTCAAAAGTTCTACCTGTCACTCCTCAGATCCACCCATTGCCTTTAGAGCCTTCCTCAAAAGCCCTAGATCAGGGGGAAATTCCAGAGGGGCTGGCCTGCAGAGCCTCTCAGCCCTGACCACAATTTGACCTCTCTCTGGCTATTATACTTGGGCTGCTGCTTAGCCCCTGTCTAACCACTGGAGTCTAACTCCTCTTAGCTAAACTAGGATGATGCTACATATATTATATTTTAAGACCGCTTTGTGTCTCATATTCTAGGAGACCCATATATATTTATTTTCACTGCCTACCTGGTGGCAACTCCCTTTTTGGGATTAAGCAAGGATCTTTATGTATATCATTATATATTTGCTTTATGTGCTGTCCTAGTTCTGGTGTTAATTGAAAAGACATATATATGAGCCTTTTGATATATGGAACACAAAGGGGAACTAGGCTCTCTTTTTCATCATCATTATTATTATTATTTTTGCACAGATTGATACGTGTACACAGGAGTTTGGTTTGTGGTAGTCTGCCATACAGTCGCAAGTGTTTCTTCCTCCCTCTGATTTCGTAGCGTGTAGGCAGTGAGAGAGCATATGGCAAGGGCGTAGATAAGAGAGAGGTCAGGGAGGTCTGAACCCCCCCCCCCCCCAGAGGAGAGTTGCTAACCATCCCTGCGGCCCTTGAAATTCCCACTCGCCTCCGAGTAAAGATAAGATGGGGGGTGAGCAGTGCCGGGACTAGGGGTGTGTGGGTGGGGTGGAGGTGGGGGTGGGGGCAGAGACAAACAGCAATCTCCTGTATGGATTTCAATGAAGCAGCTGGACGCCATAGGAGAGAGAGAGGAGGAGAAACGACTTCCAGCTGCTTCATTGAAATCCATACAGGAGATCACTGCTTGTCACTGCCCAGACCGCTGCAAAGAACATACCTGATTATTCCGTTTTCTGTCTTCTCCCCCACTGTTCTTCTCAGTGCCCAGCCCCTCCCTCCATCCTCCGCACCAATAAGAGAAGAGGGGAGAGAGGCTGTATCTGCTCTGCCTCCCCCTGTGCTCGCTCACACTTCAGTCCGTGCAGCTGCAGAGGATATGTGGGTGGGAAATTGAACACAGCAGCCGACAGCTCTGATGCATCTGAATGTGAGTCCAACCTACCTTCCTTCCAGCCACCCCTCCCTTTGCTCATTCCACCCACCCACCCCTCCCTTAATTCCACCCATCCACCCATCCCTTCCTTCTTTACACCCACCCCTCCCTTTCTCCTTTCTTTCTTTTCCTTCCACCCTCCCTTTCTTTCACCTACCCTTCCTTCCTTCCACCCACCCCTACCTCCCTTTCATTCACCCCTCCATCCTTTCCATTCACTCCTCCCTCCCTTCCACTCACTTCTCCCTTCCTCTTTTCCTTCCTTCCACCCACCCCTCATTTCCTTCCACCCACTCTTGCTTCCACCCACCCTTCCTCCACCCCTCCCCCTTCCTTCCACCCACCCCTTCCTCCTTTCCTTCCTTCCTTCCCCCCTGTAACGGAAGCGTAGGCAGGACAGAGCACACGGAGAAGATGGGGAACACACAAAGCTTTATTGAAACAACAAAATGACAGACACTCAATGGGGAAATGGCAGGCAGGGTGATGTGTGCGCAAACCAGGGACGATTCCAGGCAAGGGGGGGGGGTCTTCTCTGGCCGGGTGGCTTGTGCGGTCTTCCCCCCTTTGGATGCCTCAGCTGAGCTTCCTCCGTGACTGGACAGCGGATTGGAGACTCAGGCAACAGGCGGGCAACCTACCCCTGGGCAGGGGTCTCGGGGACTCAATGGGACTCCAGCTGTGGGGTCTGGCCTAGCACAGCTCCCACCCAGCTTTCTAGGGACATCAGGGTCACGGGGACTCAACAGGACTCCAGCTGTGGGGTCTGGCCTACACAGCTCCCACCCAGCTTTCTAGGGACATCAGGGCCACGGGGACTCAACAGGGCTCCAGCTGTGGAGTCTGGCCTAGCACAGCTCCCACCCAGCTTTCTAGGGACATCGGGGTTACGGGGACTCAACAGGACTCCAGCTGTGGAGTCTGGCCTAGCACAGCTCCCACCCAGCTTTCTAGGGACATCGGGGTCACGGGGACTCAAAAGGACTCCAGCTGTGGAGTCTGGCCTAGCACACCTCCCACCCAGCTTTCTAGGGACATCGGGGTCACGAGGACTCAACAGGACTCCAGCTGTGGTGACTGGCCTAGCACAGCTCCCACCCAGCTTTCTAGCGACATCGGGGTCACGGGGACTCAACAGGACTCCAGCTGTGGAGTCTGGCCTAGCACCGCTCCCACTCAGCTTTCCAGGGACATCGGTGCGCACAACAGGGACAGTTCAGGACACGGGTAGTCTGTGCGACAACAGGGACAGTTTGAGACATGGGTAGTCTGTGCGCGCAACAGGGACAGTTCAGGACACGGGTAGTCTGTGCACACAGCGGGAACAGTTCAGAACACGGGTGTGTGCACCGATCACCCGTGTTCTGAACTGTCCCTGCTGTGTGCACCGACCACCCGTGTTCTGAACTGTCCTCCTACCACTCCATCCCCCACAGCCATTTCCTCCAGTACCACTATCCCCTCCCTCCTAGATTGTAAGCTCCAAGAAGCAGGGCCCTCGAACCCCTCGTGTATTGTTTTGTTACTGTATTGTCTCATGTACTGTCCCCACTATAATGCACAGCGCTGAGCAAACTTTTTGGCGCTATATAAATACTGTATAATAATAATATAATAATAATGTGTGTATGTGAGAGTATAGATCAGTACTGACTGAGTGAGATTGTCCAAAATCCCCCCTCCCCAAAAATAAAAACCCAAAAAACTAAAATCAGGACAGTAGCAACCAGGATTTGTCTGGGTTTGTTTGATATATGTGTCTGAACACTTCACTTTTGGGTCTATTTATTAAAAATGTTACAAGCATTCACACAACCATCACAAACAATCCCTGTATTGTACCTCATATATATTTTCTATATTTCCCATTTCTATTCTGTGGCCCATCATGCAATATTTTCCTGATTGAGGTAATTCAGGAAAGTACTGCACTGTGGCCTCTAGATGGAGCTGATGATCATGGGAAATAAATGTGTTGGGCACAATGCAGGATTTACCTGTGACATATGCGGGAATGCTCGTGACATTCACACAGCAATTTTTTTTTATAAATAGACCCATTTATGTAAATATGTCAATAAAATAAAATTGGGAAATACCAAGTGCCATGGCATTTGGCTGTAGATTGCTGGCTCCTAGGTTTTTTTTTAGCTGGCTACTAGATCTCTGCAAAATTTGTACAGTCCTGCCCTACTCTATCCAAAACAAAACAGAAAAAAAGGTTTTGGCTTTACATACACTTTAATTATTTTCATAGTTTCAACTTTCTCTCCAGTGCTGTCAAGCTCAAATATAGTGGTGATTAGTCTAATTCCACTGCTTGATTTGTCTCAGAGAATGCCAAAACATTAATTAACTTGTAAAACTGAGTTTTCATAGAATGTGTTGGTAACTTGCCAGTTGTCAGGGTATTAATTAAAAAGTATTAAAATTATTCCTACTAGCAATACAATTTGGAAATTCATCTGCCATTGTGATATTCCTTCCAGGCCTCCTTAAATTACTTCATTTTGTTCAGCACATTGCAGGTGGCCTTGAAAGATATTATAATTTTTGTAATGTGTAAACTGATGTTGTGCTAGTAGTTCATGGTACTATACAGGTATAAAAATACTACAGTCAAGTAGTATTTTAGACAATTTACTATGAAAATAAAAACCGATAAAGCTACTGTAAATAGAAAGATCAACACAAAACATTGCAATAGAGTCTCTATTTTACAACAAACAGTATGAAAATCCAAGGTTCAGTACAATACTAAATATTCAGAATAAAACTGCTAGAAATGCACATGCATACAGTTGTGCTCAAAATTGTGCATGCCCTGGCAGAAGTTGTAAAATTTCGGCATTGATGGATAGTTATCATATGAAGCCATTTATTATCACATAGTTGTGTGGCTCCTTTTTAAATCACAATGACAACATTCACCCAAATGGCCCTAATCAAAAATGTACATACCCTGGAATGTTTGGCCTTGGTACAGACACACAATATGACACACACAGGTTAAAATGGCAATTAGAGGTTATTTCCTACATCTGTGGCTTTTTAAATTTCAATTGGTATAAATAGTCAATGAGTTTGTTAGCTCTCACGTGAATACACTGAACAAGCTAGATATTGAGCCATGGGGAGCAGAAAAGAACTATCAAAATACCTGCCTAACAAGGTAATGAAACTTTATAAAAATAGAAAAGGACATAAAAAGATATTCAAAGCCTTGAATATACCAGTCAGTACTGTTCAACCACTTGTTAAGATGTGGAAAATTCGAGGATCTATTGATACCAAGCCAAGGTTAGGTATACTTAGAAAGATTGCAGCCACAACTGCCAGAAGAATTGTTCAGGATACAAAGAAAAACCCACAGGTAACCTCAAAAGAAAAATACAGGCTGCTCTGGAAAAAGACAGCATGGTTGTTTCAAGGAGCACAATACGACAATACTTGAACAAAAGTGAGCTGCACGGTCGAGTTGCCAGAAAGAAACCTCACTGCACCAAAGCCACAAAAAAGCCCAGCTACAACATGCCAACAACACCTTGACATGCCTCAAAGCTTCTGGCACACTGTAATCTGGAGTGACAATATCAAAATAGAGCTTTATGGTCACAATCATAAGCGCTATGTTTGGAAAGAGGTCAAAAAGACCTATAATAGGAGATTTACTAAAACTGGTTGACTCAGAATCTTGGCACCTGTGCATGGTAGCCAATCAGCTTCTAACCTTAGCATGTTCAGTTAAGCTTCAGCAATAAAACCTGGAAGCTGATTGGTTTTTATGCAGAAGTGGACAAGATTCTGAGTCAACCAGGTTTAGTAAATAAACCCCATAGTGGCAAGAATACTAGTAAGGAAATTTGTAAATTCTTTATAAAATTGTTCTCTATTTTGTAAGCTTTGCCTATATATTGTACATTGCACCTATTGTGCACATGGCACTAATAATGTTTTCATCACGTTTGCATTCTTTTAAGTCCTGATTAGAAATTAGCCTACCTATGCAATGCCCCTTGTTACCTTAAAAATACAATTCTAATATTACGTGATACCTACGTAATCATGTGTAAAGAACAAAATTCAAATGCTCCTGATAAACAGAACAGTTGTTTGGAAAAATTTATATTTTTGTGTCTTTTCCCTACTGCAGTAGCTATTATTAACTTGGAACCACTAATCAATATGAGAATAGGAGTTGCCTATATATAAAATGTTCACTTTTAATGTCCAGAACAATACTATCCCCATTGTGAAGCATGGTGGTGACTCACTGATATTTTGGGGGTGTGTGAGCTCGAGAAATGTTGTGAAAATTGATGGCAATATGAATGCAGCATGTTATCAGAAAATACTGGCAGACAACTTACATTCTTCTGCACGAAAGCTGCGCATGGGACGCTCTTGGACTGTCCAGCACAACAATGACCCTAAGCATAAGGCCAAGTTGACAGCAGAAAAAAGGTGAAGGTTCTGGAGTGGTTCTACAGTTTTCCAAAACAGAGTGAGGGGAGCTCTGAACCCTGATTGGAGAGAGGGAAACCCCCACAGTACATGGGGGAACATGCACAGTTGTGGCTGTCAATCACAGGCTGTGTGCTAGAGCTCTCCTTTCCCATCACCACTTATCTGTTGGAGTCAGGAAAAGCTGTCAGACATGACTCATGCAGATATCGTAGGAATGAGGCAGCAGAAAGAAGTTATACTCAGTGCTTTGGATAGAGACAAATACACCATATAGAAGGATATGTTTTGTTCATATTTCATATATTTCATGTCTGGGATTTACAACCACTTTAATCTTGGTGAGGTTAATCATTAAGGATTATTTTTATAGGTAGATTAGGTTTTAGGGTTCTCTTCAGTTTAGGGTTAATTTCTAGGAACATGTAAAGATTTAGGGATGGGTGTTACATCTGGCTCATGTCAACACTTCAGCTAATTATAATTTTAGGCTGCAGTAGGTGACACATTTTTTTTTTTTATTAAAGGACATGTACAATGTTTTTATTTATTTTTTATGGTCAGGAAAAAAATATAATGTAAATATTTTGTATTTTTTGCTAATAGGAGAAATATAAAAGTCCTTTTACCATGTCTTTCATAGATATGTATATGTTAGTAGTTTTCTTTTTTTTAGATCCGTCCTGTCCCCCCCCCCCCAGTGTTTTAAATGAGAAGTTTAGTTTTTTTTATGGTCAGGAAAAAAAATATATTATAATGTAATAGTTTGTATTTTATTGCTAATAGGAGAAATATAAATGTCCTTTTACCATGTATTCAATTGATATGTATATGTTCGCAGTATTCTTTTTTTAACTCCTTCCCGTTGCCCCCCCACTGTTTTAAAAGAGAAGTTTAGTTTTTTGTTTTTTTTTTCAAAAATCATTGCTCCGATGCTGCATCTGTCCCCCGCTGGCTGTAAGACTAAGAACTGAGAGATCAAAGACTGCTGATCACTCAGTACTCTGTGAGCAGAGAGCTGGTGACTGTCAGTATCCAGGTCTCTGCTCTGCCCCCCCTGTGCTCACTGGAGTGCTAGGCTGTGGAGGGGGGTGGGAGCTGCTGGCTCAGGCTCTCAGCAGATTGCTGAGAGGCTGAGCCAGATGCTGGTCCATACACCTGGACATCTTTAAAGTCGGGATCTTTACCCAGCCTGGAGTGACATCCGCCGACAGTGGACTTTAGCTGGCTGTTGGCTGAAAACAAGTCACAGGAGTGCAGAACAAACTGCATTCCTGTGATCCACAGAAGAAGTACAGCCAAGCAAGCTTTGACTGTAGTGGAGGAACGGAGCAGCTCTAACCAGCCCAAGGAGTCCGGTGTATAGGATGGCCTGAGCTGCTCCTCTGGCCACCCCCACTGATGCGTTTTGCTCCACCCACGGGGCCTTGATCACAGAGCTTTGACTGTACTTCTCCTTTAAGAGAATTAGAATACCTGGCGACAGAGGAAGGCATTATGATCATGTGATCACTGTGATTGGCTGTCACATCAGTCATGTGATCGTATGCTCCTGATTACAAGTATGCATCCGGAGCTTTGTGTGACATTTTAGTTACCGTGCTGGGAGCGCAGAGTGGGCATACTTTCAGCACAAAAAAAGTTCCCTATGGAAGCATATATGCAACCCCTCAGCATTACAGCTCACCCACCCAGCAGTCGCCTATATGCATATGGCCGGAAGGAACAGGTTTAAGTCTCTAGCTAAAGCTGTTAAGTACACACATAGCTGAATAAATCACAGAGACTTATTTCTAAACAACTCAGTACAAAATCAGATTTAAAAAATGCAGCGCAGCAATATAAACTCAAACGGTGCTCATAATACAAAACTGCATAAATGAATAGTGAAA